AGTTTTGACATATGGATTGGAATCGCTTACATTACACTTCAGTGTTACTATGTCACCCTCCTTACAGGTTATCTCAGGTACAACGAATACTGTGGGCGGGTCTATAATGAATGTATATCATTCATACAATTAAATACATTTTATTTGTAAACACCAAAAAGGTGGAGCGTATTCGTATAATATGCCTGGTATTCTTAGGTAATACTCACATTGTACATCTACATTAATTGACTTTGTGTCGCTCCCTCTTTCACCGTTCCCAAGTCGATTTTCAGCGACACACGTGTAGGACCCGATGCTGTATCTGTCAATAGCACTGAGTAATAGATTACCGTTGTTGAACCCTGTGCCGTCTGGATAGATCCACGTAATTGTGGCTTGTGGTACTGCATCTGCTGAACATGTTGCAATGTAATCGTTACCTTCTATAACTTTCCCATTCTTGTGACCGGCAATGATGACTGCAGGTTTATCTACAATTAAATCAAATAACAAATAATACAATGTAAACAGTCTTTCCATTACTTTATTGCTAGCGGAAGATTAAATGAGATATAATGGTCATTTATAAATTTTTGCGATAATCATGTATCTGTCTGTAAACGCAAGGATTACTTACATTGTACGTATATGTTAGTAATACTTCTTCCAACTCCGGAACTGTCATCAAAATAAGTGTTTGTCGCTGTACAATTATATTCTCCCGTGTTATTTCTAGTGATATTGTCGAACGTATACGTTCCATCGCTGTGCATTAATGCATCATTCTTAAACCATTGAATAGTATCGACAGGTGGATTTGAATCTGTTACATTGCACGTCATTGTAACGGTGTCACCCTCCATACAGGTTATGACAGGTACAACGGATACTGTGGGTGGATCTGTAATAAACTGGGTTAGAGCAATTTATCAAATGTCTTCACGTTTTCGTATATTTTTTCATGTGTATTTAAGTTATACTCACATTGTACATCTACATAAATTGATTTCATGCCACTTCCTCTTTCACCGTTCCCAAGTTGATTTTCAGCAACACAAATGTATGTTCCATTGCTATGTCTGTCAATGTCAATCAGTAATAGATTACCGTTGTTGAACTCTGTGCCGTCTGGATAGATCCACGTCAGTGTGGCTTGTGGTTCTGCATCTGCTGAACATGTTGCTGTGTAATCGTGACCCTCAATAACATTACCATTATTGTGACTGGAAATGATGACTGTGGGTTTGTCTGTAAAATAAATAATTGGACATGTATATACTGTCCTCAATTTATTTGCCGTGTAAGATCAGATAAATATGTCTATTGTTTGTGTGACACATTTTACATTGGCCAACCCAGTACCGGCGTGTCAACAGAGTGTTATGAACCACAAAGAATAATAATGTTTCATGTAATCTAAAAAGTATATGATGAGGCATATAGCTTCAAATGAGTCTCCCTATTGAAATAGACAATGCCAACATAATATGAGGTTATTACGAGTGTACTGCAAAGTATGCACGAAGACAGTACAGCCGGAGTATCGACCGACTTTCAGCAGATTTCTTTGTTTAGGGCTTAAGTGAACAAAGTAGTAGCCGGTCGACACATAAACATGTATTACTGTCATTTAGCGTTTTATAATTATAATACTGATATACAAACGTACGCTGGACAAGTAGGTTCGTTGTGTCACTTCCTATTCCAAGACTATTGTCGAAATATATATTTGTTGCTCTGCATTCATATTCGCCTTTATCGTCACATGTTATATTGTACAGAGTATACACTGCAGAATAATGTACAGCTTGACCATTTCTATACCACGTTATGTTGTCTGTCATCGGATTGGCTTCCATGACACTACAATTAAGTGTCACATTATCACCAACTTCATGAACATTAACCGTCGATATCTCCACAGTAGGTGGATCTAAAACGAGAAAATATAAAAAATTATAAAAATGTTCCCGCTTTGTATTCTTTACTACTTACACTAAACACCTAAATGTATGCTCAATAATGTAAAGTAATATAACGCTTACCAAAGTGTGTGATTATTCTATTGCATAGAAACAATTTCAATTATCTAGCTCAAGCAATTGTTAGTACACATTTTTCTCGGCTTTTTGATAGCCACATGTCAATATTATCAAATATAAATTAACAAAAGTAACGATATGTTATAAAAATTATACCTCGTTTGAACGGCCTTGTAACGCTATAATATAATATGCCCTTTTGTGTTTATTCATAATTGGTGACCAAAATATTATTTTTGCAGTGCAATCAGCTTTTGTGGCGTGACAAAATTTCTAGTAATCTACACATTACAGAATTACGCTCTTTGGTTGTCTTTGTAAAACATCGATACAAAGATATATTTAATACACAAATGTTAAAATATTCAAAGAACGTGGTCCCAAATGCTTGGCCGCTTGGAGCGTGGAAATCAAACGATATCACAGTCTACATTCAGGTGCTTTCTCACGTGTTTTCATTGTAACATACGACCTAAAGTAATAAAATGCAATTTTAACGCCACAATTTCGACGCCATGGGCCACTATTTCCTAGCGTTGTTGTAGGACCGCTTATGAACTATGAGGCTACTGAAAACATAATCATTATATTCGCCAAAAATTTGCAGCTTATATATTTGGAAATTTTATTTTATTTTATTTATTATTTCATGCTGCTACCTTGTACGCCTCGCCTATATCGCTTGCATTGCCTGGTACGGCCGTTGAAAGTTCTGGTTCAACTGATGAAAAAAATTTGAAATATTTATACAATAACCAATGCTCATTTACAACCAATGCAAGACTGTGGGTCTCTAAACATGTATACCTAGCGCTTTTGGGGTGAAAATGATTATTATTGCACCGAATAAATCTGAAAATAGAAACAGCGTCTTGGCATTTTGTAATTGTACCCTCGTAGAGATGTAGATGCATACAAATATACAAGTTGAACAAGTTCAAGAGCAATGATTTAATTTTATTAAGTTTTATCATGGACGTCTCATGATTGTTTAAACCTAAATTCAAAGGCTTCATGCCTGACGAAACATTAATATTTACAAACATGGGTAATTCGGGAGGAAGGTGCCCGGATGTAGGTATACGAATATGTCATGGACATAAGGTATAATAAATATATATATATTGAAACAGTAAACGACAATATACTCAATACACATTCAACACTGAGATATATAGTCTCAGACTCAACACGTGTTTCGTTGTTATACAAGGTGTTGGTACCACGACATGTGTAATTGCCTTCTTGCCATCTTTCAACATTAACTAGTGTAAGGTTAGAGTCATTGCTATTAAATCTCTGATATTTGAACCACTCTAAATTTGCGAACGGGTTAGCATCTGCCATACACTTTGCCGTGTAAGTATCACCCTCGATTACTCTTCCATCACTGTTATCCTCAATTGAAACATCTGGACCGTCTAGAGCAAAGTAACATTAACCATGTAATTAGTAACGCTTCTAGCATAAAGAAGGAACACACCAATTATAATGCATAACTGATTCAAATTATCCTATTCCCGGTACATGTACTATGATATTGTTGTTGTTTTTGAATTGTTATTTCTTTTTTTCACGTCATTGATTATGTGGTCTGTAACATAAATGATTGTTTACGTTGTCTATTGAGAACTGTTTGAGTGACCCAATTTGAATTAGACAGCACTCAGTAGAGATGCCAACATATTCTACATGTCTTCAATACTATTATCAACACTCATATGCAGATATGATACATGTGTAAGCTGTTTTCTCTACTTGAAAATATAAGAATAACATAAAGATCATGTTTGTAAAATTTAAACACTGGTTATATTCCCTATTATTGTTGTATTTTGAACATATATACATATACATGTACACATGGCCCGAAACTCAAGAATGATCTTGTTAACCATATGCTTGTAAATTTTAAGCTACTTTATCTATGCCATATGACTATTTCCCCAATTATTTATTTTGTATTTTACATTTGTCATGACTTGTTAGTATTATGTGCTCAAAATGGGGTATAATTCTGAAGTTTCACAACACATAAAGTGATCTTGAACTTTCGTAAAAAAATGTACACATGTGTAGCATGGGAAAACATTTGCCAAGTCTGAATGCCCTAGCTATTTGTATTGTAGTTAACATGCATAGTCCGACTATGTTTGACATCCGACTTCAAAATGTATCAAGGTCATGCAAATCGACTGTTTTTATATTAAAATACGTTATATAGTAAAAAAAAGTGTAAATACATGGTGTGACATTTGACCTTTCGAGCCTTAAACTCTGCCCGGTCATGTGGACGACATTGTGAATATTGTTCCTAGTTTGAAGTACATAACATTTGTTATCTACGAGTAATATTTATATTATATAGTACAAAAACATATAAAACGAAACTGTGACACTGACCTTAGACTCCAAATCCTTAAAATGGGACTTGCCGAGCAAATGAACGAATGTATGACAAATGGCCGACCAACTATCCACAATTCATATCAAACATGATACACCAATATTGTCACCCGGCAAAATGTCATCACATGTACTTAACTTAAGTTACGCAATACGGTCAATATATTATATTGTATTAAATGGTGGGTACGATATTTTTCTAAACTTACATTCTGCGAGGATGATTATCTTGTCTTTACAAGCCGTGCTATCCCATTGTTCCTGAGAGAGTGTGTAATGTTCAAATCGACAGTAGAATTCAACTCCATTGTGTGTTTTATTCAGTGTCGCTGTCCATGTACTGGGTCTATTACTGCTACGTGCGTATTCTATATTGTCTGCATACCACACCAAGTCACCAGGGGCATCGTTATTTAAGTCTATAGTGCAGTAAAACTCTACCTCTTCTCCAGTAATAATTACATTATTTTGTACTGAGCATTTGCTTGCGTTAGCTAAATGAAAAAAAATAAATAAATAGACATGTTAAATAGACTATTTATCCATAACAAGTATTAAATGTGTTGGTTAACATATGTCAAAGTATTTGGATTTGTCAAATGCACTATTTGATCATTATACCGAAATGGAATGGGCAAATGGGACGATAATAATCTGTTCTGCTTACCGACAACATATAAATTTGCAACTACTTCATACGGGTCACGTACACATTTATAAATGTCTTCATCTTGTAACGTAATATCGTAAATCACTAAATTGTAATCCAGTTCTCCACCAGTTATGTTATACTTGTCTGCTTTGCCATATTTGGGTGTTTTATCAGTTGTAATCGGAAATGTGCCAGAATTGAACCAATATACGTTAGGTCCGTAGGCTTCCGAGACACTACAGTTTAGTTGCACCATTTCATTAACCAAAGCGATAGAGTCGACTGGTGGAGTCACAATCAGTGCTTGTTTACTTGTGATCAAACCTGTGATATAAATGCATATGGAATGTGAATATACACATTTGTAACAGTGATACCAATTGCCATGCATCACTTTGAAGTAATTTGTATTCGGAATGCATTTGGTCAATCATTATGCAGTTAGCGATAATTTGAAATATAACAAGTGTTAATTTCGCTGATGACGTTGAATATATTAAGGAGCTGAGTAACGTAATGCCAAATTTAAAATTATAATTTTTGAAATTAAATCGCACAATCATTAAGAAAAATACACATTATTGACTGACAACGCGTTAGATCAGGGGGGTGTTTGATACCGCGTAAAGGAGGGACTTACCGTTTGAGCAGGCAGGATTATCCTTACCCCCAAATTAGTTAGTTGTGGCAAACTTTTGACATGGTAAACTTGAAACTATGTCTCAACATTATTGTATAACCCCAGATTAACAACTTTGGTAGTCACGTGACAATGTTGACAAAAAAAGAACTAACCTTATGGCACACTTGTATATTATTTTATGTAGGAAACTGTTTTGCAGGTTCATTTGTCATAACTTCATAGATTGTACTATATATTACTGCTCGAATATGGGTGTTTGTGCCCGAGCGCAGGTGAATATTTTCCCACGTTATCATTAAGTAAGTGGTATAAATGAAAGAACAAATGATAAAACACCAATATGACTGTCAATGAAATTTGTAGTTGCAAATGTAGTTGCTGATTTGTCATTGGTCTGCATTCGAATTGCCTGAATGTGTTGTTTTTTTTACGATATTTCACGTTTTTCCAATTTCGAAGTAGCCCCAAAATGTGAATATATGTGGGGTAAATCCTGCTGTCAATATGGATATGAGCGTAAGTAATGAACATTGCGTATGCGTGTGCATTGGGTTGAAATAAAAATCGGCTGTAGTGGCTCACTTGTGAACCCGGGTGTTTCACGGTACAAACATGACGTTGTATTCTTTTGTCGATTGAGATGATTTTATATATATCAATGCTACCGCTAACAAGAAATTAAACAAATAAACCTCGCAACAACGAAATGTGGGTGCGAATATGTACCACAGCTTGATGTATCCACAAATGCTTTATGCTAGTTCCAAGACGCATTTTATCCAATCACATGTGTTGTTTAATATCATATTTCAATATGGCTGTTGGTACTTTGAAGTTAATTTTATGACACAAAGTTACATTCAAAAAGAAGTTAGTATAATATAATAGCGGTTCATCACCTACTCCGTTTTTACCTTGGTTGAGTGTGTGAATCACAATTTCTACTTCAACTTACCTATTAATAGCAGGAGTTGAGCAACAAATGATTTGGATTCCATGAATATGAACACAACTACCGATTCGGAGCCTGATATTGGACTCTTGACTGATCAGCTATAATTTCTTAAACACTGTGACACACTACAGTGCTTGCAAGTGTTGTAAATATTTGTATGTGAGTCATCTGTCATTCACACGAGGGCGCTGTTTTACATGGGGAACCAATTATCAGAAAAATACACGCATGATGGTTCCTGCACGATTTTAGACATTTCTTCATTTTCAGATCACAAAGTAATACTATTTTTTTGTATTTAACGAGTCGACGAATATAGACGGATAATTTACTTTAGGGTTAAATTTACTCCCTAAATTATGATAATCGATGGGAATTGTCATTGTTGCTGTCCTGTATATTTAGTTCAAGTTAAACAGTATGAACACAAATAAAATAATACAAGACGACGCGCGGACTTACTCTCACGATGAGACTCGATTTCACCACTGACGCCCTCTTTGTTCATATGTGTTAGTCGGTTGTTTTGCATTCGTTGTTATATTAACTTTCTCAGCATGGACATTGTTATTGAACTCCAAGAGTTAAGTAGTAGATTGGAGTATGAGGGGACTAGCGGACTCGATTTATGAGGATAGAGCGTTAGAAGAGCGAGGATGAGAAGTAAGAGAGAAAGTACCAGAGGAGAGGGATGAGAGAGCAGCCAAAAGTGAGACTGATAGTGAGGCTGAAAGGTTGAAACGTGAGAAAAGAGACAGAGAACGTAAGGCTGAAAGGTTGAAATGTGTGGCAACAGGGAAAGAAAAATATAAGACACCATGAACTTGAAGTATTGAGGTTGCGTGCGGGAGCTAATGGTCAAAATGGAGGCATAGAAACGTTGGATAAGTCCATTTTTAGTTCTTAGGGTCCAACGCTACCATTGTTTGATGAGACTAGGGACGAAATGGAAGCATTTATTTTAAGATTTGAGTAATTTGCGTAATAGTTGGGTTATGGATCTTAGGGCATTATTGACAGGTAAAGCATTGCATGAGTCCATCGATTAAAATATAGTAAAGCAGCTTTGTTGAAGCGTTATGATATGAATGAAGAAGGTTATAGAAAGATATTTCGAAATAGTATTGTAGAAGGTGGAGAGAGCATTTCGCAATTTGCTGGTTGATTAAGTAGTTATTTTGAATGTTGGATAGAGCTGTCTAGAGTTTTAATGGAGCTAAGGACAAGTGATACAGGCTACAACCATCATTCTGTGAGACTTGTATGAAGTGCTCTGTGATCTCCTGCTTTCAGCGGTGCCCTCCAGAACACCGCCATTCCTCTGCAAGCAAGTCTCCTGTATTTCTTTGTTGTTGTGTTGCAGAAGCCATTGACTGTCGTTCATTTCTACATCCTGGAGCTGTGAGTTATCACCAATGCACACTTGCCTAAGCAATTCCCTATTTTAGTGACTTTATTCATTGTATTTGTTTGTGGTTCATTTCTTGTAATCATTTTGAGAGTTATTAAAGCCAGGAGTTTTAACTCGATTTGTTGGTGTACGTGTATTTCATTTCCAGTACTATTGTCTTGTCAGACCCTTTCTAGCAGTGAAAGAACCCCCTGTTCAATTGCGATAAGCAAATCTTACACTGTGACAATTACGTTGACTTATCTGTCGGTATTAAACAATATAATACATTCGCACAACAACACCAATCACCGAGGTATAAATGAAGAACACTCACTTGTTACGTACGCTAACCAGAAAAAGGTCAGTGACGTATTGTGCAGTGATCTAAGGCCAGGGAGAAAAGGAAAGAAAAAGAATAGGTATTATAAACTCAACGCCAGTCAGAATCAGTATAACTAAACACGTTTTAAAGAAAGGAAAACTGCCGAATTAATCAAAAAGATATTCATGTTCACTGAACCATTAACACACTACCCCCCCCCCCCCCCCATTTACAACAATTTTGATTGCAACCGCGAGAATACTGGGAGGTATTTTCTACGAAGAAGAACTTCAGAAAATCGTAAAGGACGATGATGCATTCTACATTGTGGAAAAAGTGCTTTCCAAGTGAAAACATATGGACCACGTGAAATATTTAGTTAAGTAACGTGGATATGATGACTCGTTTAGCTTTTGGATCTGGGACTTACAACGTTTATAAATGCACTTCACCCACATGATGATCCGATTCATTTCAAAGGCTGGCATGTTGGGCAGAATTTTTCTTGACACTTCCTAGTTATGGCATTGAAAGAAATTACCTCAAAAGGATACCTCGTCAATCGATGCGTTATGAAAATTGCATCCATCCTGGCTGGTACGATGTCGTTTAAAAAAGATTTGATATTCCTCAGCCAGTTGCCAAAAGGAATCATCCTGTGTCTGGTGTCCAATGCGGCTTTCAATTGATCCTACAAAACCAATCCATTCAACTTCCAGAATTAGGAAGGAAAGTTCTCGCAAAACCATTGAAGTTGTAATTCACAGCGGGTGGTGGTAGAAGTTGCATCTTGGCTAATTACATCCTGTTTACCGGTACAAACAAAATTGGCCAAGACCAAGGCAACGGCATCACTTGAGACGAATATCCCGAAGGCTACACAATCTTCGCATTTGATATCACTCCCGACAAATTGGCCAGCGATTATCATCTCAATTTGATACAAGAAGGAAAGTTTCATTTTGAGATTCAGTTCAGACAGGTATTGACGGAGACTTTGTTTAGATGCATGCTGAACACGACGACGTTATCGATAATCACATGAACAAAACGTATTGACCGATTTCTAGTTGCAATCATATTCTGTCAACTAATCTATACACGAGAATGTGGTATTCGGAATTTACGGTAGAGAAAGTTATACAGACTACTTTACTCATTGAGAGAAAGAAGGATAAATACTAAAAAATTAACAAAAATTGGTATGCAAATATTATTTTTTATTTACCACTGTTCATTATTATTGACTTTTTTCTTCTCTATGTTACTAAGTATTTTTTAATCAAATTTGTTTACTTAATCATATTGTATTTTGTAGTAATAAAAAACTCTTTACCCCGCTATAAATGTATACTCCATATAACTATTTCATAATTTTCAACTTTTTTATGTAATAAACTCCGTTAGTATGCAAATACACCGCGTAATTATTAACATACCCAGAGTGTTTGTACGTGTGTGTGCGCGCGCCCTCTACCGTTCAATAATATTCATGTCGGGTGTGTCGTCATAATTAATTCGCGACATAGCAATTATTTGCACGATTTAAAAATATATTTAGTTTATTATAATTTATGTTAATTTATTCACGACATGCTTGTTACTCGCTTGATTAGAAAACAAATGATTTTTATGATAACTTATGCTAATTTTGTTCACACAATCATATTGTGACGGCATAATTATTCAAACTTCCTTTTGGTCGTTTATGATAATTTTATGCTAATTTAATCACACGAGCCTGTTTTAACGTCATATATATTCAAATAGTATGTAATAAACTACTCATACTTCACATCATGTATGTTGCACAATACTTTCACATCCTGGCACACAATCCTGACTCCTTGCACATCCATCTTTTTTGTGAAATTTGGTTGGATTTTAAACGCAAAATATAGCTAATTTTATTAGGGCTGTGTTACGACCAATAATTCTGAGCCAGGCTGGCACATTTCGTGGCAGCACCCACACATTTTCAATACACTACTTTTTTTGAATAGTATTATTCTGTGGGTATACATTTATAAACAAGCATATCATGTAGCAAACCTATTTTAGCTGCCATTCTTCTAGTAGACCACTGAGTCGTGAATCATACATGTTTGCCAAGTAGACATAATAAGTTTGCAAAACTAGTAATTTAAGCAATTTATTTACATTAGTTCAATATTTTTTACTATAACATTTATAATTTGTAATGTAAAATACATAATAATATATTTACACCAACACTGTAATAAAGTGTTGACAACTTAAAACTTCAATCTTGAAGTGATAAATGCCAGTAAATATGTTATTGTCACGTAATATACAGTGCAATTTTGGAACAAGCAAAAAGTGCAATAGTCACAAAGTCTACAATGTCACGCACAATATGATTGTTTGAATGACATAAATTTATAGCTTTATGGTAATAGTGCTTGTCTTTATAGCGATTTGAAATGCAAATTAGAGTAGTTGTCAGGCTACTTTGCCATAATTGCGGTTTCTCGTTGTAGTAATTGCGCCCTCTTTTTCATAAGCTGCTGTCGATGACACACACATACATATGTATCGCA